TAGCTTATTACCCTTTGAAGAGAAGAATGTTTTTGGAATAACTCAAAAATACCAAAATATGAGCCAGATATACTTCTTTGAAGTTCAAAACCCTAGCTCCTAGATCAAGAAAATGCTTTGAGGAACTTTGACAATTTTGAACAACCTTCTTGTACCAACACTTTTGATTTGTAAATAGAATTTGTTGAGGATGATAATGAGATTTCATAGCAACCAAAACCACTTACATATCTTAATAATTGAGAAAAATATGCACTTGTGACCAATGGGAACAAGGCCTTGTCCAATCATGACAACTTCTTCAATCAACCCCTTGTACTTTTGAATCAATCTTGATAACTTTGAAATGTGGTGAACCAAGATAAACCTTGCCATGCCTTTTCTTCCAAAATAACTTCAATGGTGAGGTTTTAACTTCTCAAGCTTTATTGACTAGGGCATGGAAATAAACTCATGAACCCATGGATCAAATTGCTAAGCCTCATTGCCTTTACCTATATTATTAACAAGTAAGACAAACCAACATTGAATTTTATTAATTAAAAGGAAAGTCAAAACAAAACATGCATGATCACAAAATAAAAACAAGTCAAGGTGCTTGGTGATTCCTCAAAGAGCAAAGCTAAAGATAGGGAGGAGAACCAAAAGCCCTAATGTGACCTTGTTGTGATTGAATCAATATGGTATGATGAAGGGATCTTAGGGGCAAAAATTGGGGTACAACATCTATGACATTTTATTTTTCAGTTAAACTTGACTTGGGATAGGACACCTTTTGAATTGGAAATTCGATTGGCCTTGTGGCCTGTGCTGGTAGTACGTCTTCGACGCGACTGTCTATTTCGACTAGCTTCAGTTGGGATGCTGAAGCCTCCTTCGCAACTTTATTATTCCTCTGATAATTCCTCCACTGTGTCCTAGTCATTGGATTTTTCCCCTTATAATTAGGAGAAACTTGATAACCCTTTGACTCAACCTTCTTTTCCTATGCCTCATGAACAATCACCTTCCATTTTAGCCTTTTGCCCCCCTTTTGGCTCACCGGCTCCACCCATTTTTCTTGTGGGGTATCTGACGAATGGTGAAAGGTTTTCGGATGAGGTTGCTGAAACAACCTTCTATACTATTCGTTGCATTGAGGAATTCCTTCTTTGTCAAAAACAAACCTTGGAACTGAAGGCTTCTCTTGCTTAAGTGCCTCTTTTTTGGCAGCTTCATATTTCTCAGCTTCTTCTTCATCATACACAGTGTTGCATCTTGGGCACAATTTTACCTTCGACCCTTTCACTCTGAATTTCTCCTAAAAGTCAGCCAAACTCTCTTCAGACTGAGGGTACACTGCCTATAATCCCTCTTCCATCTTCATGTTGAAACTATCATTAGTTCCAACCATCATAACTTCTATGTCACCAATCATTATGACTTCTCTGTCGAGTACCTCAGTAGCTTCGACCATCATGCAATCTAGAGGCTCTGAGTATAAAGCCTCTTCTACATTCAAAGGATAAGTGTCGACTTCTATCTTTGGCTTTTCGCCAAATTGAAGCCTACCTTCTTTCAGAGCTTTCTGCACCAAATCCCTGAAAAGAACACATTGAGAAGTTTTATGATCAAGAAAATTATGAAATTTGCAGAATCCCTTTTTCTTCTTTTGTTCAAGTGCGGGATTCTCCAGGCCCTGAGGGACCACAATTTGACCATCAGCTACTAACAAATCAAATATTTCATCATATTTGGTTATATCAAAAGTATAGGTCTTGGTGATGGCTTTGCCATTCTTTTCCGTTTCAACAGGTTTTTCCCGTTCGACAGTTTCAACAGCTTACAAGCATAAGGAGGTCTCGGCAGGAGTTCAGCCATGTTAACCTCTGTCTCTTCCCATAGCTTATCTTCGTCAGAAGAATACTCATCAGTTTCTACGTAAACAACCTTCTCTTTTTGTGGTACTTATTTTGCTTAGTTTTTTCTGCTTTCAAACGTTCGATCAGTTGAACTTTGATAGCTAACTGATCCATATCCTTCAAAGATTGAGTATCTAGAAATTTCTTCCTAATAGAATACTCTAATCCATTCGCAATTATTTCGACTAACTCGTGTTTAGGGACTTGTGTAAAGCATCGTGCTTTAAAAAGTCTAAACCTGTTAAGTTATTGGTCTATCAACTCAGTGCTTTTTTGTTTAACACTAGACAATTCTGTAAGGCATATTTTGGACTGCCCCGTGTGAAATTGTTCATGGAACAATTTCTCCAACTGAATCCACATTTGGACCAATTGTGGGGGAAGCGTCATAAATAAAGTAAACACATTCTTTATAAGGGAATTGGGAAAATACTTCATCCTCAAATCTTCATTCACTACCAAGTCTCGAAGTTCCATTTGGTACCTGGCAACATGTTTGATAGTGGATTCTTCGACATCCCCTGGAAACTTAGTGAATTTCGAGAGTTTCCAACCTCTTGGTAACTCCTTTTGTAAAACAAAATCTGGAAATGGAGAGACATATGTAATCCTCTGATTACCCGTATTCTCTCCATTTCTAACCATGATTCGTTCGACAATGGCTTCTAGGTTTTATTCCCTAGCCATTGTTTCTCGTCGAACGTGTCTGACCAATTGGTCGGCATTCTAGTTTCAATTTGATATCACTATTGGGGGTTGTTGTACCACCCTAAGTATAGGATTGACACGCTGGGGACTTGGTGGTTCTTGTTCAATTTTTTCATCAACCACCTCCTCGTACTACACTGGTTCCTCACTTGGTGGAGGCGTATTTTTTCGAATTGACGCTCTTGGGGCACCAAGTAAATCTCTTATGTGAGTCATTTGAGTTGGTAAAGTTTGATAACTGTGAACCGGATTCTCAATCAAAGGTCTTAATATGAGACTCATCTATTGAGTAAGCATATTGATCATCTCAGGATTACTTATATCCATTTGTTGCCTTATGACAACAACGGTACTTGGGGTGAAAGTAGGCATGATTTGGTTGGAAAATCCCAACCCAGTCGAACGGCCAAATTGATTTCCCACCGGCCCTAAGGCATGATATGGGGAAAATGTTGACGCATAATTTTCACCAAATATCGGACTACTGTTATGCAGGCCTACCATCATCGTTGTTGGCATTCCATATTCAGGTATATTTCTTGCAAAGCTAGGAAATACGGCCCAGTAGTCGGGATCACACCATTGTGTGTCTCTCTTGCAAAACTAGGCACACAATGCCCATAAGTTTTGACCATTGGTGTTCTTACAGTTATTGGTTGTGTTGTGGTTACTATGTTTGGTGCAGTCGAAGACACGACCATAGGACTAGAACCCACACTCGCTGTCACGCTGGTATTTCCTTCCAAAGTTTGGTCCCTTTCAGGGGTTTAAGGATCTACCATTTTTCTGCCACTTCTCAATTTCATGCACGAAATGAGAAAAACTCAAACACAACGTGTCCCAACAGTGTGCCAATTCATTTCTCTATGAAACAATTGCTAGCTTCTTATTAAAGGTTACTTGCAGGATCAACTACTATAATCCTAGACTTAGTGTTTTGAGTGTTTTGGGTTGAAACTGGTTGATATTAGATTAAAGGGAAAAAGTAAAAGAAAATTGCAAAGTAGAGAAAATAATTGACAAGACTTGTAATAGATAAATGAAAACTAGAAATTTCTTAGAATTTATATGTGGAAGCATTCATACATTGTTAAGCTTGAACTCATTTCTCTCTTAGATGCGGGTACTTTGAGTGTAATGTTATTAAATGTGAAGAAATGTAGCCACTAATATGAATACAAAAATTTTCTTAAATAGAAATCCTAAGTGCATGACCATTGATGGTTACTAGCCCACATTGGGCTTTGTGGAGAAACTGCTCTAAACTACTTTGAACATTCCCACACTCGTGTTGGCTTGCATGTTGATAACTGCTCTTTGGACGTCACTTGTTTCTATTTTTGCACCCAAAAATGACCCCTCTTCTTTTTTAACCCTAATTGGTTTATATTTCATTGTCATGTGCATGGAATCAAGGTGTTTCTCTGCTAGAAAGAGTTGCGAAAATCGATTATTCCGTTAAGTATCATTGTGAAGCTGAACTCAGGGTTTTTCACATTTTATGCACCCCGCATGATTCTCAAGCTATCTGACCAACAACTAAGCAATTTATCATCATATCCAGATCTTACACATCACAACACGCTTTGGATGGCGTAGAAAGTCGGGTGTTTCAATCGATTTGAGATAGTGCTGACAGAAATTCAATATTGTGCGTTTCAAGCTCAGAAATTCATAACTTGAGATTGGTAAATAGTTTGGGAATGATTCTTCAATATTTATAATCATATTGATGTCTTCTTAATTTCATATGTTCATGTCGAAGGCTAATTTTTTGAGGAAGATTTTCTAAAGGGCCAAATACTTGATGTGCGCTATATAGTGGATTTACAGTTTCTCTGGTTTTCGGATGCTTTCATAACTTATGACTGGAGAATAACATTTTGGTTCCTATTGGAGCATTTTAACGTCTCGTTATTTCCTCCAACTTTCTTGTTTGTCTCGAAATCCAATTCTAGGAGGAAGATCTCCGAATGCGCGAGTACTTTAAAGCTAAATAGTGAACAAAATAGTGAAAATAATGTGTTGAACCGTTATTTTCCAAATATTTAAATATTCATAACTTTCTCCGGGTTCTATGTTTTTGATTGGATCTTTGGGAGAAAAATCCATCTTGGTTTTATCTTCATTTTGTATGTTCGGGTCAGAGGAAAATTTTGAGCCGAAGGTCCTCGAAAATGCAAATTACGCGAGAAATATACTGTGCTGAAACTGAGTTTATTCTACCGTTTCTTGATATTTAAAAACTTGTAACTTCTTCAATTTTTATTGTATCGAGACGATTCTTGAATCATAATTTCACAAATTATGCTAGTTTCAACTTTTCTCCAGGTCCTGAGTTCGGATTATGCCCCGAATGCTTTGGTTTACAACTCGTTTCTCGATGTGCGCATGGAAATAAACCAAAAAAATCTGCATTATCAAAAAGTACAGCGTCAGAGCCCATTCAAAAATTTGTTACTTCTTAGATTTTTATTGTATCACGTCCATTCTTTCGGCATCGCGTCACAAATTTCGTCATTTTTATTTTTGCTTCAGGACTCGAGTCGAGATTTCGCACCAAATAATGACTTTGTATTTTCACCTTGTGTTGTGCATAGAATATGATGACACTGTCAAATTGAGGCCCAATTGGTGGATATATATTGTTTTTCTCTTCACAATTCAAGGAAAAGAAAATCATTTGTTAAATTTCTCACAAACTTCTCACATTTCTCTCTCTATTCTCTCAAGATCTAAACACATTTTCTCTCTCAATTTCTTCATAAAAATTCAAGAACACCAACAACAAAAATCAAAACTCATCATAAATCTTCATCTCCATCACCGGTTTTTGCAAGAATCCCATTTTGCCTTGCCTCCACCACCGGTCAGCAACCACCGCTTTCAATCCGGCTCCAGTGGCTGACTGCGACTTCTCCTCCTTCCGACGATTTTTCTGGAGGTCCATTCTCCCTTTCTTTGCAAGTTCTGGCCATTTTTTATCTTTATCTTCTCCAATTCTTCACTTTGGTAATTAATTCTTAAAACTTTACTTGAAATGATTTTGAATTGGATATTTCTTGAAGCTTAGGTGTTGGCTTAAATGCTTGAGACATGATTACTTGATGTGAATTAAATTTGAGATTTGAATCTCGAAAATTAATTGTATTATTGAGTTTCCTTTGATTCTTTAGTTTACAATGATGATGAGAAATGGAATTGGTTGAACATTATGCGAATTCACGAGTTTATTTTAGTTATTGAATTTACTATAAGCATGAGTTGAGTTTGATTTAATTTCATGAGTTGATATTATAATTGTTGTTGTTTCCAGATTATGACTTTTGATGTCAAATTATACCAGAATTTTGGATTATTGAATTGTTGCTGAGACTTAACGGTAATTCATGAGTTAATGTAACTTTTCAAATCGGTTTGTTGATGAATTTAATTCTTTGACATAAAAAACCTCAAATCCGATTTAATTGTGTTAACACATGAATATTGTTTATTTTAGCTTGGAATTAAGGCATCCGATGTGAGTTAATTGTTTGTAACATATTTACAATTCCTAAGCAATGATACTTGAACCGAAAAGTGTGTTTTTGTGTCTGTATGCAATTGTTAAAGTGATTTCAATCAATATCAGTTCAAGTATATATGGCTGTCCGAAAATGTAAACATGTCGCGAATTGCTTTTCATGATTCATTTGAATTTTGTTTGCATATGTTTATGCATTTATGGACCGTTTGTGTTGAGAAATATCGTTTTCGATGTGATTTTTCAAGCCATTCTTTGATACAGCGCGATGTAGCCCGGTTATAGTTAGTTGAGCATAAGGTTGGAGTTAATTGATGGTTAATGCTCATGGTACTTGGTTTTGGTATTTGGATGGCATTTATGCCAAGTTTTACCCTTTTCGGATTGATTTTTCATGCAGTTCAAATATTAATGGCAAGGCTGCCCGGGGATTGGTAAGTTGCACTTGCACTTGAATTTAATTCACGGTTGATACTTAGTTGATCTTGTTGGTATTTGGAAGCTACCGTACCATTTTCGTGCATTTTTGTTCTGACTTTTCGTGCACCTAAAGATTGAACACAATGCTGTCCGGTTTTCTTTACTGCATGTACATTGAGTTTTGATTTTTACATGATGCATGTTTGCATTTTATTGTTCGATTATGGACCATTGTGGTTGATTTTACTTGATTCATGTGCGTTTTTCGGGTGAATTCTTAAAATGTACGTAGTGCTGCCTCGTTTTCTAGAGTGCACTCAGAATTTGTTTCAATTATTGGTGTATGATTTGTATTGGTCTTTGTTGGACATTTGCATTGAGTTGTGTTGATTTCGAACTGACATTTTGTGTGTTTCATTGTATGATATACATGCTGCCCGGTATTCTATGTTGTGCTTCCGTTATTTGGTTGATTTTGCTTTATGCATGATAATATGTCAATTTGAGTTGTGATGTCGATTCTTGAGTTATATTTGATATTCCTTGTTATTTTCCAACTCTTCTTATGACATTGTGCAGGTTTTGGAAGGCGATTCTTCGCGATGCATTTGTTTGGATTTTACTATTTACTTGTGTAGCATTGCTTGGTGCAGGACATAGCTTGGTGCGTGCATAGCTTGCGATTTATTTTCGCATCATAATATTGGATGACTGTATTGGATATTGTATTTTATTTGATTTGTTTATTGATTCTATCTTGCTCGAAGTATTCTGGGTTTCTTACACTCGTTGAGCTTTATTACACACTCTTATTCATTTGGTATTACACTAGTTTATGCTCTTGCACCATTTACCGCTTTTCTAGCCATTAGAAGTAGGAATAGAAATGCATGATCATTTACCGCTTTTTTGATGCCATTAAAATTAGGAATAGAGATGCATGCGCTGGGCCTTCGAGGCAATTTGGTTTATATAAAGACCTGTTTAAGGCAATTTTTTTTGTGTTTGGAAAAGACCTCAAAAGGGACAAATCTTGTTTTTTAACTTTTGTGCAAAATACCTCGATAAAGGCGTCACATTCTCATCCCCCATTGATAAGTCCTTGGAGAATGCAAGTGGAAAAGGGTCTGCAATCGACCCCTACAATTTCTAGTCCACGGTTCATTCATAGCTCACGTTGTACGTCGACGCTATGAACCGTGTTGCTCATGTTATCGAGTCAGTCAGATGGATAGGGATATATAATCAATCCCTCACACTTTTTTTCAGCTCACGTTTTTCAACGTTGACGCTTTGATGTGATCTCATTATTTCCTTCCATCTCCTACCTCGATTTTTGATATCCTGGTCAGATGTTTAGTCACTTATGATGATTCACTCTTTGTCCTTCTCTTGCCTCGATTATTTGATATCTTGGTTAAAAGTTGACACCTCATTCTTTCTTACCCTGATTATTTGATATCATGGTTAAGAACCAATATTCCCCCACTTTACTTGTCTTGAAGATTCGATGTCTTGGCTTAGCATCCCTTTATCCTACCTTGATGATTTTATATCATGGTTAGGTGTCCCACTCTCTTTTTCCTACCTCGATGATATAATATCGTGGTTAGGTATCCCTCTCCCTATCCTACCTTGGTACCATGACACCTTGGTTAGGCATGTGCTACTTGAGTGAGTCGATACTCATTAAGCTTCGTTTGCTTGTTTTGGTTTTGACCTTTATGTGATTGCACTCTTGTGTATGTTTCTTTAGGCTCTTTCCAAGCTCTTGCCATGCTCCCTTAGAATCTTAGGCTCTTGCCATGCTCCCTTAGGATCTCTCGATTCAACCATAGGTAGTGATTCGAGGTAGACATTAGTTTGGAAACCATTCATGCTAACTTAGTTAGAGGTTCCCTTTCATTCTTGACCTTAGGGTCATCTCTGTATGATAACATTAGGTATTAAATTTAGGATAGTTTCCCTTAGACTTTTTCTTCCCTTTTTGCATGTTTAAAACTAAAACTCTTTTCTTGGAAAATTCATAAAATACTCTAATATTTCTATATCCTTTTTCAAGGTAAAAAATACAAACCAAATTCAAATCTTTTTAGTCTTCAGACTCCTTTTTCTTTTAAAACATTTTCGATAAGGATGTGTTGTTTCAAATTCGAGAAAGTTGGAAATGCTAAGTGTGAGAGGGTTGAGCATGAGTCTCTCTTGAGCTGCAAAACCAAGCACGAGTTGCAATCCTTACCGCAAGGATGAGAACATGGCATTATCCATAAAAAAACATTGCAACTCATCAAAAAAATTTAGGAGAACTACGTAGTGCTTTGATCCCTAATTGCACGAATGATGTACGTAGAAACTAAAGGTTTATAACTGTGGCAAACACAACTAAAAAAACCTTTTTCTTTGTATATTCACTTTGCATTCATGCATTTCTTACGTTTTGGCTTTTAAGCTTTATTTTGGAAACACACCCTTTGATCAGAATAACAAGTGTGGATATCGTAAAGTACTACGGGCATGTGGGGTGCTAATACCTTCTCCTTGTGTAACAGACTCCCTTACCTGATCTCTCAGTCGTAATACTGTGACTTCTCCCTTTCTCAGGTTTACTCGATGTTTACATTTCCCTTCCTGTGGGATAAAAAACATTCGATGGAGACTTCATTGTTACATTCTGTCGATGATTTTCAGCCAGTTGTTTCAGCTGACGACTTCACTGGGGAAAGGTTGACCAAATGCGGGTCCATACCGAAGTCGCTCCTAGCTCTTGCTTTTATTTTCTTTAGGTGTTTATTTCTTTATGCTTATAGTTTTGTTCATTTGTACATGTTTATCTGAGAATATGTTTACATAGTATCTTTATTGCTTTCCATATTCTAGTGTTGTGCTGGCTTCTATGTTTCTTTGTTGAGTGGGTGATACTATTGAGGTAAATGGCCCCATACCCAGGCTAGAGTTGTAAACTCTTAGGAACACTAGGTTTAGATTGGAACATAACGGCTAGAGGATGTATATCTTTCTAGCGCGGTCATGTCTTCCATGCTCGGATGAGGTTCTAATGAGGTACCGTCGTTATCACGTAGGTGTACGATGATGGTATTCTCAAGCGAACCCATGATTTTGAGTTACCCTTGACTTTATCTTGACCTAGTCTTCACCCGTGAGTGGGACGAGATTGATCATTACATGTACAGTTGGTGACTTTGTGGTTCTTATGGTTCTGTTCTAGATTGCAGTTGGTGACTATGGTTCTTTGGTTATGTTCCGGAACTTTGACCCTGATATTCTCGGCATATTCAGAAATAGCACAATAGACACCCAGTTTTTTGAAAACCTTGATTCCATGTGTTTTCACCTGCATCATAGCATATTTATTTTTCCAAAAGAAATGTAAAAAAATGTACATTAAAAAAGGTTAATCCACATGTTCTCTTCATTCCCAAGGAACTGTGCTTGTAAGCTTTGTTTTGTGCTTTTTCATCTCTCACTGGATCAAAATCAAAATTAAAAGCATGTGGGTTCCTTGAAAATGATGGAACATGGCACTGCATCCTCTTGTGCATTTCATGCATTCATAATAGGTACCAGAAGATTGGGGTTTTTTTTATTTGGACCTGGTATTTTCTTTTCAGAACTGCAAATCTTGACTTCTCGCTGCTTTGTGATCAGAATTAAGCTATGGAGCAACTTCGTGGGGAATTGGGTGAAATTAAATATCATATGGGGTTGTTTATTATGGACATGCAAGTCTTGGTACATGGTTAGGAACTCCTAAAGGAGGAGAATCATTAGTTGAAGACTCAGTTGAGTTTTGTCATGGAGATTCTGAGAACATTGATGAGAAAGGAAGACGATCATGTAACCGTTGCTGCAACAAAAGTTGACATTCCTCCCCATACTTTGGGGGCTTCTTCCAGTCATGGAGCAGTTCATGTATCTCCTTCGTAACATTGTGTTTTCCAGGATCTTCTCGTTCGCAACCAACTGTTGATCCCTAAGAGAATCCAAAAGGTAAAGCTTGTCAGTAGAGGCCAAAGAAGCCCGAAAGGAAACTTTATCCCATTCCAATGTTGTATGATTAGTTACTTCCTCATTTTATTGGGTTCCGGTTGGTTGAATGCCAAACTTTCGCTAATCCTGAAAAGCTTTTGCTTGAGTATGATGGTAATGCCAAGTGTGACTCTCTTTCTGGGGAAATTGGTCATAGTGTTGAGAATTGTAAGGCGTTGAAATATAAAGTTCAAGATTTTCTTCATGCGGGGATAATTTTGTCTACTTCCAAGGGTCTGAGCATGCAAATCAATCCTACCCCAATTATCATTAGGAATCTGGTTAAACCTTCTCTCGTTCAAGGCTCTACCTTGCATCCTAGGTCATATTATCTATTGTCATTGATTCTAAAGGTTCCCCTCCATTAGTTATGGCTCACTCCAAGTCGTGAAAATCAGTTGGTTAATCAGAATCAATATCATCCTTATGCCCAGCCAGCTCAGGGTGCATCGCAACTGCAAACCTATCAAAAGAAATGTCTACAACAAGGAAGGTAGAAGGACAGGAAGTCGAAAAGAGTATATGACACAATGCCAGTGCCTTATGGCCAAGTGTTACCTCATTTTCTCAAGCTTTATTTGGTGGAACCCAAGCCATTAAAGCATGTCATTCCTCCTTATCATGTGGGATTTAAGCCCAACTTCAGTTGTGATTATCACACTGGGGCACCTGGCCATTCAATCGAGGATTGTAAGCCATTTAAAGACAAAGTTCAAGATCTGATTGATGAAAACACTATCATTTTCGAACCAAGTGGTCATATTTGAATTCTCCTTTGATTCAATGAGTTCTAAGTCTGCAAAGTGCATCTTCTGAAGCAATAATCCATACAGAGTCTAGCCTCCTCAACATCGTGATTTCAAATTTCATTTGCATTCTCATTTGTAATCTCTCTTGTTTTGTTAAGTACTTTCTTGTATGCAAAACTTGTTCTTTTTTTAATATTAATCATAATGCGTTGAATATGCTTGTCTTAAACTAATCCATTTATACTCACTCTTAAATGATTTCCTTTGCTTTTGATACTCAACTCTTGTGAACAAAGCAAACACCTTTGAAGGGAGGATGATGAACAATATACCTAGTGTGATCGGTGGATTTAGAACTGACTGTTTAACGCTGGTTCGCGAAATGTCGCAGAAGCAAGAGTCGCCACCGTCTTTTATTTTCTCCAACATGGACAGGACAAAAGCACAGCAAAATTCCTTATGAGAATGTTTCTCGGTTCGGGAGGTAGATTTATAGAAAGGGAAGGTGTTAGCACCCTTTCTATCCATGGTTATCCATGGGCTCTTAGATACTTGCTCTTATGTTTTCAAAATGTTTGCTTTTCAATTGTGAGTGGGTTTGAAAAAGTTTCGTTTGAAATATTTCTGAATAACTCTTGTATCAGTCCTCAAGAGTGTTTGAAAAATTGTTTTGAAAGCTTTTTGAAAGTGTCGGTGTGAAAAGAGTTTTGATTTGTTTTTGAATAGAGCAAGTACCTATGAGTCATCTACCTACCCTAAGGAATTAAGCTGTGTAGAAGTCCTTAAGGTAATGCCATCCCACCATTGAGAGGTAGGTAGCACCACCGTTGGAGGTGTTCGGGTCAATTCGAGTTTAGGGACGTT